AGATGACACAGAATGTGTAGATGACAGGATTAAACCAGGCCTCTAGCCAAATGATTGGTCACTTAAAAAAAATTCCTTTATTTTTCTAAGATCAAAGTCATTCTCTCACTCTTGCTCTTGCCCTCCCCACAGTGAGAAGGGGGAACCCAAAGGCCTTTTCCCAGCTCTCAACTCTTACTGAAAATATAATGGAGAGGGAAAGTCATCCAAAACATCTTGTGGTGAAGGGGTCCCACCACTACCCATGTCTGGGCATTGAACGTGTACGTGTTTTTGTTTCGGAGGGGTTAATTAAAGACGAATAGTCAATGAGTTAATAAGTACTACTCTGCTTTACCTCTAAAAAAATGAATTTAGAGCAAATCTTAGAGATTAATTCAACTTCTTGTTTCAGAGATGAAAAAGAAATGGGCCTGTAAGTGATCATACAACCGGATCATGGCAAACCAGAACTAAAACCCTGATACTCTGCTCAGGGTCAGCGTCATGACCTGTGACCTGGGAAATCTCATGGGACCTTGTGCTTAGAAGGATGCTGCTCTGGATTTCTGTCTTCAAATTCTTAATAATTTTTGAACAAAGGACTCTACATATTCATTTTGCACTGGTCTTGCAAATTATGTAGCTGACCGTGACCTTGCTCCTCAAAGATTGTTTCATAGAAAAAAAACTTCATACTCCATCCAATAGAAAGAAGAAAAATTCAAGAGATATGGGGCTTTAAAAACACAAACAAACAAAAAAAAATGGGCAAAGTTTATAGGAAGAAAATAAAGTTCTTGTGTGTCCGAAAGAACATCAGCCAGCATAGGACTAAAAAGTGGCTTCATGGAACATAATACAGTTCAACCCCAAAAAGTTTCACTGGAGCCCAGCCCAAGTTCCCAGGAAACCACTCATAAGCAGTGATTAAGTGGGACAGGGATGGGAGGTACATCCAATCTAGTTATATAATTAACCTGAATGTCCTCTTACCAATAAGGCCTTAATAGAACTGGCCTGTCTTCTCACGTGAGAACCACACACACTAAACATCTCACCACATGGAAAAAAGCAACCTCTACATTAGAGATCGTCAGGAGGTGTTTATATGCTGAAGTACACATAGCTTTGCCATTGGGGAATTTGGGGTGTCTAATTGTAAGAAATGTTACCCTGGGAAATAATACCAACGAGAACACTGGGAAACCCAATCTATTTGGCCATTACTGGTGTTAGTCAGAAGTATTTGCATTTGATAGCAGTCAGAGATTCTCTGATCATTAATTCCTTTCCTTTAGCAAAATTATATTTTTAGTGAAGCAATAGAAAGATTTAGAGCCTTAAAAGCATCAATCCAACTCTAAATCCCAGTTTTACCACTCACAGTGTCATGACTGGCAAGTTATGTAAACCTTCTAAATCTCAATTGCTTTATCTGTAAAATAAGGCCCACAAACCTACCTTGTTCAATTTGTTAGTTTGTAAGAATTTGCTTTCCCCAAAGCATGTTCCACACAAGACAAATTCTGGAGTACAGTAAAAGGGATCTATAGGTCAAATAAGTTCAGAAAATAATGGGTTAAAGAGATCAAATTGATTTATTTAATGCACAACCCATCATCATTTTGAATATACTAATTTTTTTAGTGAATCAACAAGAGGGAGATAGAATTTATGCTTAGGGCTCAAAAGAATAAGAAGACAAGCCTCAGACTGGAAGAAAATATTTGCAAAAGACATATCTGATTTAAAAAAAAAACTGCTATCCCACATATACAAAGAGCTCTTAAAACTCAACAGTAAGAAAACAAACAACCCGATTAAAAAATTGACCAAAAACTTAAACAGACACCTCATCAAAGAATTCATACAGATGACAAACAAGCATATAAAAAATGTTCCGTATCCTATGTCATTAGGCAATTGCAAATTAAAACAATGAGATACCATTACACACCTATGAGAATGGACAAAACCCAAAACAATGACAACAACAAATGCTGGTGAGGATGTGGAGCAATACTAACTCATGTTCATTGTAAGTGGGGATACAAATCATACAGCCACTTTAAAAGACAGTTTGGGGCTGGGCACGGTGGCTCATGCCTGTAATCCTAGTATTCTGGGAGGCTGAGGAGGGAGGATTGCTTGAGGTCAGGAGCTGGAGACCAGCCTGAGCAAGAATAAGATCCCATCTCTACTAAAAAATAGAAAAAAAATTGCTGGATGTGGTGGCGTGTACCTGTAGTCTCAGCTACTAGGGATACTGAGGCAGTAGGATTGCTTGAGCCTAGGAGATTGAGGTTGCTGTGAGCTAGGCTAATGCCACAGCACTCTAGCCTAGGCAACAGAGAGAGACTCTGTCTCAAAAAATAAATAAAATAAAATAAAATAAAATAAAATAAAATAAAATAAAATACAGTTTGGCAGTTTCTTGCAAAACTAAACATACTTTCATCAGATAATCTAGTGACCATGTTCCTTGCTATTTCCCAAAGGAGCTGAAAACTTATGTTCACACAAAACCTGCACATAGATGCTTACAGCAGCTTTATGTTTATAGCATGATTACTAAAACTTGGAAGCAACCAAGATGTCCTTCAGTAGAGGGATGGATAAATAAACTCTGGTACACCCAGACAGTAGAAATATTATTGACTGCTAAAAAGAAATGAGGTACCAAGCCATAAAAAGACAAAGAGGGACCTTAAATGATATTACTACATGAAAGAAGTCCATCTGCAAAGGCTACATACCATAAAATGCCAACTATATGGCATTCTGTAGAAGAAAAACTTATGGAAACAGTGATCACCATGATCAGTAATTCGCAGGAGTTGGTTGAATGGAAGGGACAAATTCATGTAGCACAGAGAATTTTTAGGGTAGTAAAGCTAATCTGTATGATACTATAATGGCGGATACATGTGATTTTACATTTGTCTAAGTCCATAGAATGTACAACACCAAAAGTGAACCTTAACTATGGACTTTGGGTGATAATGATGTGTCACTGTAGGTTCATCAATTGTAACAAATGTCCCACAGTGAAGTGGGATGTTGCTAGTGGGAGAGGCTGTGTATTTGTGAGGGAAGTCTAGATAAATGAAGAACGGAAGTCTGGTTAAAGGCAGTAGATATTTGACTAGTAGTCAACTGAGAGCTGAATTAATGGGTGAGAATTAATTTCCAAAATAAGCCTTAATCTCATTAAAATTCAGCAGAAAATTGTTCAGGCATGCTATCAGGAATGCTAATCTTCTAAAAAAGAAAAGTAGTTATAAATTTCACACAGAAGGGTTCTATTTGGGGCCAGGCTTGGGCAACTTTTCTTTTACGGTATGCACAAAACTAACAAGAAAGGCAAGAAAATCACTACCATAAAATGCAGGACAGTGGTTACCTGGAGGACAGAGGGAAGGGGGTAGTGTTTGGGAAGAGACACAGAGGGTTTCAAGAGCACTGTCCATGTTCTTTTGTGTGATTATAATTACATGTGTGGCTGGATTTTATTTATTCATTAAACTGCACATTTATGTTGGGGGTGTTTTTCTATATATGTTATATTTCTTGATTTGAAAGAAGGTAGTGAAATAAAGGGTAGATGAAAATCGGAGCCACAGAATGCATAAGCGATCGGGATTTCTCACACTTGCATGAAACGTGTTACGTGAATGCAAAATTTAGAATATAGAGCCTTAGGGTAAAGCTAGCATCTCTAGTCCTCCAAAAAGCATACTTCCCCATGCCACAAATGGGACTTATCGTTTAGACCTCTCACTGGCAATTAACTATGAACAGTGTCACAACCATTCCTGTACTGTTACTTTCCTTTCACATCTATATGCTTTGTCTTCCAGCTCATAGCCTGGCACAGTGTCCTCTTGATGACATGTATTGATAAGAAGCAATACAGAGTTTAAGTGTGGATCCTATATCAGAACAGGTCATCTTAAGGCAATGCTCCAGTATGTATCATCATTTCTAAAACACATTTCTCCAGTCCAGCTCTGAGTGTTAGACATGAAGCCTCACACCTCTCTTCTATTGATCAGAAAACTCTCCTACACCTTCTACAGACCCAAACACTAGTGGTGATATGAGAGCCCTTGTTATTCAATTATGTGGCAGCTCCTCTAGGGACTCATAAGGACTTTGAGACTTAGAGCTTGCTGACCAGTTTCTGTGTGGACAAAAAACAAAAAATGGGAAAAAAAAACAAACAAACCAATATCATGGATGATGGTCCATGGATGATGGTCTGATGTAGAGTGAGGACACAATTATCTTATTAGCACCATCCTTGTGAGGGATGGACTTAACTCTGCCCATGAACTGCTTTCCTAATATGAATTCACTTTGCAGTTTCCATTTGAACCACAGAGCTCAATCATTCTTTCAACAAATGTTAAGTATCTACTACGTGCATATTGCCATGCCAAGACACAATGATATAAGACATCCTGAATTTTCTTTTTTCTCCCTGCCAAACACATTTTCTGTTTTTTGATAGCTGTTATCAAGGCAGAAATACACAATTCACTAATTAGCAAAGAGCCCTTCCCTTTGTGGCAGGATGTTGCAACCAAGGCACCAAAATATAATAGCTATGACATTGCAAGCCAGAGTGCCAGGCCAAGATGCAAATTTTCAAAAGTAATAGTTGAAAAATGATAACAAAACTCCAAGATCCCTCACTTGCATACAGGGCATTAAAAAAAAAATGGGAGAAGGATAGGGCCTAGGAATAAAGATTTCCTTAGAAAATGTTATGCTTTCACCTTTCTCTTTTCCTCCCAGAAAGAAGTGTGGGAGAGGTACTAGCTCTTAAAACAAAGTCTAATGAGAGAGATTTTGAGCATATTACTCAGAGGGTTCTAAAGAGGATTTCTGTGGAGAAGTGGAGAAAATTCTTGATGTTTTCTGAGTCTATCCCTTTCTAAGGGAAAAGAGAGTGCTTCTTTCTTGACCCCCATCAAGAGAAATTAGACTACAAAGAGAAAACTCAGAGAACTTACCATTAATCTTCTTCTGTTAGAGAGGAACCCAGTGAACTGGTGTCTGATGCCTGCCTGGAAATTCTGAAAAGCAAGAGATAGGTTGGTTTGTAGCTTGGCAGTCGGAGGAAAGAAGGTGATGCTGCATTTACCGCATGTACCGAGGCAGAGATGAAGCAGGATTCCAGATTCCCACAAACTAGATACGGGGCACATACAAGTGAGAGCCAGCGATCTAGGTTGGTCAAAAGAACTACCTAGAAGAAACCGAAGAGAAAGCCTCAGATTCCCAGGTAGCACACTGATGTGTCTCACTGTTTCTGTCTTTGTCTCCCTTCGGTGTACTTTACCTCAGAAGTCAAATATTTCCACTTAAACATAAGGCAGGTCATGTAATTCCTCTGCTCAAAACTCCCCAGTAGTTTTCCATGCATAGCATGCAGAGGAGAAGCCTAGGCCTTGCTATTACCTGCAAAACCCATTAGCCTCCGTGCTACCACACCCTCACCTCCTTCCCCCTTCTGTTCTCTATTCCACAGATACACTGGCCTCCTCCTCTTCCTTGCACTCCTCAGGAACACTGCACTTAGATTCCCTCTAACTGGAAAGACTCAATGTGTTGGAGACTTTAGCCACCTTGTTTCTGAGGCCTTCCCCTTTAAAATTTCAACCCTTCCCCTTCCCAAAACTCTCTCTGTCCCCTTTCTCGTTTTATTTATTTTTTTCTCTTTAACTTTCATCACAGTCTAATTTACTATATTATACACACACACATATATATGTATGTATATTATGTAGATACGTGCATATATGCATATAAGGTATATATGTGTATGTATATGTTATGCATATGTATACATATGTGTATGTATGTTATGCACATGTATATGTATGTATATGTTGTGCATATATTAATAAAATATGTATATTATGCATATACAATAAATAATATTTATAGTATAATTATATCTGTGTGTGCATGGGTGTGTATAAAATCTCCCCACTGGAAACACAGTTTCCATGAAGGCAGGAATTTTTGTCTGTTTTGCTCACAGCTGTGTACTCAGGGCCTCTACCGGTGCCTGGCACAGAATAGTTGCTCAATAAATATTTGTTGACTGAATGAATGCACTTTAATAAAATGTCTGTGAATGACAATATTTCCTAGGTTATTGTTCCAAAGAGGTGGCCAATGGGGAAGAAAGAGAAAAACCCAGAGCAGGAAGCCAGCAAATCCACACACAAGTTTGCTGGATGCTACAGGGCTTGGAGCTCCCGTTCCTTTGTCTTTCACATGCCCAGTGCCCAGATATCAGTCAGCAGTGGTCATGATCTATGTTTTTCCCTTTTGTTTCCCTTTTGTCCTTGGTGTTTAATAAAAAAAATCTGCAACTCCATCATTAGAGCATCATAAATCACGTTACACAGTCTGCTTGGGCAGCTCTGATAGGAACCTCCTGGGCTGGACGTGAACTCAAACAAGCCAGGAAATGTTTCAGTGGACATAAAAGCCACGGGAAAAATTCTAGGGCATGAATCATGTGGGATTTCAATTTCCCTGATGCCAAGTATGATAACTATCATGGACTCTAAGCAGCGTGGAAAATACATGTTTTTCTTTAACTTCAAAATGTTCTAGAAATGTGTTCCTACCTTTAAATATCCTGGGTCCAGAATTCAAGAGCGACAGAAGGCAAAAGTTGTCAAGTGACAAAGGAATGGAGAGCAGGAAGATTGCAATGTTAAAGCTGCCTTCTTACCACCCCTGATGCACGACTGCAACAGTTTCTTTCAAGATAACCAAGAAATTCTATGGCTTTAAGGGAAAAGGAGCAAAGAATATTAAATGAGCTAAAGAATATATAAATAGAAACTTAGATCCAAATCTGCTTGAAACACACACACTCATGCACACGCATGCACATACATGAAAACACATGGCACAGAACACTCATACGCACATGCATAAACACATTCTAAGGTCCTCTTATTCCAATAGGTCACAAGAGAACCACAGCCCTAAACCTCTCAGACTCTCTCAAATATCATGGCCTATTACATACATAGGAGTTCATTCATCCTCCTATGCACTCCTCTCAACCCATTTGTGCACAGTGAGGACTGCAGAAAGTTGAACTTACAAATGAAGATGCGGGAAGCTTTCCTGAAGCCCTCTGTTCATGTTTTTATCCATGTTATTCCTTTCAACCATAAGTGGCTCCCCTCAGCTTCAGCTATGAAAATGCTATCCATTCTGCAGAGTCTAGTTCTGATTCTCCTCTTTCAATACCTTCAATAACTGACTTACTTGGACAATTCCCTCCATCCAGTTATTCCCAGAGAAAGCCTCTGGTGGAGCCAGTTATGGAGGGACTTTTATTTTAGATCTTGGCAAAGGATACATCCCTTTTACAGAATTGCAGAGTAAAATAGTATCCAGCTCAATGTTTCACAAACTGTGCTCCAATTAAAAATGTTTCATGATTCTTCAAAAAAACCAAACAAAAACAAAAGAGAGTCCATGTTCAAATAGTATTAGAAAACCCTATATACTCTATCTTCCTCTTGGAGATTCATAGTGAATATTAGCATAGTAAAGACCCTGAGAATCCAGAGGTGAAGAAATGTGATTAACTTGGTTTAACCTAGTATTTTCCAAAGTTATTTGACCAAATTTTCCAGTTTTCATATAGCAATAAACCTTTCTCAGAAAGCTAGTCTTACATGGAACACAGTGCAGGAATTATTGATCTAATATAACTCCCCCAAAGGAAGAGGTGATGAAATTGAGGCCTAGAGAAGTGAAATAACTGAATTAAGACTGCACGTTAGTTTGTTGAAGAGCCAATAATACACCCCACGTCTCCTGTATTCCAATCCAATGCTCCTTCACTATATCACTATGATCAAATTATATTATAGAATGGAATTGTAGGCTTAGGACTTTTATTTTATATCTTGGCAAACTTGTTGGACATTGAAATCCTTTTGGCAGTATTTTGCTTTGGGAAGAATATATTATAAACACAAAATAGATAAAGCCATTTTTTAGTCCAATAAAGAATCCCTATGTATACAAAAAAGAAATTAGTGAAAGTAATATCTGTCTAGTCCCTAAGGATCAGAATTCATACTAACAAGTTGAATTTACAAAATTCTGAGATACCCTATGAACAAGGTGGTATAAAAATAAGTTCGGAATCATACCACAGTACTACAGTAGGCACAAACATTAAAAATAAATAAATCCCTCTCAGGGTGTGCTGTATAGTATTTGTTCCCTTACCACAAATATTTGAATAAAAACAAAACCAAAAAGGATATTTTTGTTGAATGAGATTTTGTCATTTGTGGCAGATATTGCTGATTGCCCCTCAATAGCTTATGCTGTTTCCAAAAGATAAACCATCATTGGTCCATGTCAATTTTGATCATTCTAGCTGCATTTGCCAATAGATTTAAAAGTGGATTTCTACTGGCCAATATATAAGGAAAGTCTATCAGGGTTTCTGGAGAAGATTTTTACCCCCAATAAGAGGGAGGAGAGTGGGTTAGGCCCACTTTTTATACTTCCTATATTTGTATACCTTTGTAATGAGGGAGTGATGTCTGATAAGTGAAACCATCTCGACACCATAAAGAATTAGTCTGAGAACAAAAGCTAATACGTTGAGGCTGGCAGAACAAGAGGATGGGAAGGACTGGCCTGGGCCCTTGATCACATCACTGAGGTCCTGAATGAATGGTGGTACCCCTAACTCCAGGCTTATAATGTGAGATAACAAAAAGCCCATTTTGACTGATGCCATTTATGATCATCCTCCCTTATCCCCTCATTCCAGTTCAAGACTGAGCTACATCTTCCTTTCAGTTATGGAACAGCAAGGTTTGTTCTGCTAGGTCACACATATGTGTCATTTACTGGTTGAAACCTCTGTGCTAGAGCTCTCTGCCTTGCAGTCTGCCCAGGCTACATCAAGAGCAAGTCTTTTAACTTTCTCTCGGTTGCAAACATCCACTTAGTTCCCCTGTGCTTGGTTACTCCCTTCCATCTACTCTTCCCGGGATGCTCTCTGCTCACGCATGGCTCCCTAACTACTTTCTTCTCTTTTTCTTCACTCCTGCAGATCCTAGCTTCTTCTCTGTTTCTGCCTTCACTTCCAGAAACCAAGAGTTCTCTGCAAGTCCACAGTGTCATCCTGATGCAAATATTTAAACACTTACGATCACACATTTGTTATACACGCTAACATCTACCACTCTTCTCCAACTTCACAGGCTGAAGTTCTCTATCCTTCCCACAGATCAGCACCTTGCATATTTTAATGAAAGCAGCAAAGACCAATTCACAGTTTTACCCAAGGCCTCCATGCCTTAATGAGACTTCTTGGTGACAGAGTATCCAAGGTTATTTTGTATCATCTACTGAAGAGCTTAGTAGTACATGTATCTGTGTTCAATCACTATTTTTCTGATTAACTTATAAAAAGTAGGCCTAGTTAATTTATTTCAAAAAAAAAAGGTCAGAAAAAGACATTTGGTTAGTTGAAAGACATTTGGTTAATTTGCCTAAATAAAATGACCAGAATTAAGTTTTATGGATGCAAGGGTATTTCAACAACAATTTCAGAATTGACATGTTGAAAACATGGGAACCTTAATTACAGCATCTCATATTTGTACAATGTTTTATGACTCACAAATATGCTTTGTTTCTATTACCTCATCTAAGCATTCCACATGTGATATATCATTTTTAGGTATATCAAGTTTTTATGACATCGGTAAACAATTTGAGAGAAAGCACATGATCAAAGGTCACTCATAAACACATATTTCAAGTATAAGCTGATCTGAAGCTAAAAAAGAAAAAGAAATTAATCCAATGTATTAGTCAAGCCAGATCTAGGACACTGTGTTTATTTCTGAATGCTGTGCTGTAAAAGGAACACTGTCATAACAAAATGACGTCTGGAAATTATCTCAAAAGGCAAAAGGGAGAACTGAGAATGCTTAGGCTATAAATGAAAAAATTTCAGGGTTGACATCATAGACGTCTTTAAATTCAAAGGCTGTCAAGTGCAAGGTAGCAGGATCCTTCCCATGGTGCTTCTGAACTAGTGCCAATGAACACAAGTTAAAGAAGCAAAGAATCAACATAAGAACATCAAGAATTTTCTAATGCCCATCTCCACTACTGTTCCCAGCCTTCTAGGCTATTCAACATAAAGAAGAAATTAAAACTAAAGCTGTGTAATAATAGACTGAGTAGCCTGGGAATTAGAAATATCTGAAGAGTGTCTGATGCCCTCCCTCAGGAATTCTGGTAGAGGGATTCCTGTGTTGGGAAGATGAATCAGATAACCTCTGGAAACCCTTTCCAGTTCCAGCTTGTTCTGACAGCAGCATTGATCAATCCCTGCTCAATTTACTTGTGTGACCAATCTTATCTTTCAAAGTAGCAAGATGACTAAATCTATAGTTTGCTAAAGATGTGGGTAGACAAATAAAATCTAACATACAAATGATTGGCATCGAGCATTCTTAGCACCTGGAACAATACCAGGCAGACAGCAGGGAGCTTGAGAGTATGTGTGGTGTCTTTGGGAATGTACTTGCCTGGGAAAAAATAAATAAATAAACAAAAAGATAATATGTGTGGTATAATGAATGATCTAACTACCTGAAAGTTGTATAATCCTGACAGGTTTCCAAACATTTTCACACATGTGTAGTTCTTTTGCGCTTTCACAGCAACAACTCTATGAAGCAGGATAGGCAGGCTGATATACTCATTTTGCACTCTGTTTTGTTTCCCTCCCCCCCAAGAATGCTTTTCAATTTAACACCTATGGCTTTAGTTTTCATCGAAGGCCGTCGTAAGAAAAATCTATCACAAGAATATCTTATGACTGGGTGCAGTGGCACACACCTGTAGCCCCAGCTGCTCAGGAGGTTGAGGTGGGAGGGTCACTTGAGCCCAGTAGTTTGATGCTGTGATCTATGCTCACACCACTGCACCACAGCCTGAGTGACAGAGTGAGATCCTATCTCTTAAAAAACTAAAAATAAAAAAGAATATTTTATGTAAAACCACAATTGAAATCGTCACTGTCCATCACGCCCCTCCCATAAGAAACATGACAAATGCCTCCCTCAGTTAACACCAGGAAAAAGTTTTCTTTGCCATACTGATTTGCCTCTTCTGCCCTTGCTCTGTCCTTTCTTCCTTCCTTCCTTCGTTCTTTCCTTCTCTCTCTCCCTCCCTCCCTCCTTCCTTCCTTCCTTCTCTTCTTTTTCTTTCCTAAACAAGATAACGGGGACTCTATAAATAAACATAGTTTTTTTTGCCCCAGAAGTTGCTAGGAAATGTAATCAACCTTGCAGTTCTAACTTTGACACCCCGAGTTCCTCACACAAATCTCCCAACCTTATAAATTAATCAAAACTTATACACTTGTTTTTTGTAAGCAATGGACCCTTTGGTTTTAAAAAATATATATTACTTTGATTCCTAACATATAAAATAGTTAAAAGTACAGCTGTTGAGAGCAGAGTTCAGAGCCCTCCCAACTAAACTTCCCTCAAAAATCACCCCAACCCCTGGTGGCCCTAGATCTCCTAGTGTTCCAGAGACTGTTATTTGAAAACTACTGTTCTATGATATTATATATTATATTATGCAATATAATATTATGATATTAGGTACGTGAAAAGCATGTATATTTCCATACTTTCCTACACATGAGAAAATGGAAACATTGAGACATTAACAATAGATAGCAAATAGGTAGAGTCAAAATTAGAACCCAGAACTGACTGTAGACTCAGGTAATATCTACGTCAACCTCTCTGAGCCACAATTTTTACACATATAAAAATAAGAACAATAATTATCTTGCAACATTTCTTTGAAGATTAAATGAAATGAAGTGTATAAATAACCCTACACAGTGCTTGACACATAATAGATACTTACAATTATCTTGATTACTTTTTTGACCCCTAACACTGTGGTCTGGTCAGTATGTTATGCCAATGAAAATTTAAGGGAAAGAAAGAAGACGCTACGTCTGAAACCTGGAAAACACAGGGACAACTGACAGTGCTGGAAAGCGAGTGTGGGATGAGACTGGGCGAGACTAGGAGATAGCCTGGGATTTATCAGGGATGTTGAGACAAAGGTACAACTGTCAAACTTTGCTAGCAAACGAAACTGGGTCATCATAAAAGGTTGAAGAAGAGGGACAGACTGAGATCAAAAGAAGTAATTAAAGGCTTTGTCATTAATCCAATCACCATCCAATCCAATAGATGGGAGTAAGTTTTGACTTTCTTGAGCCAGGTCCCAGCCATTTTACTTTCAAGGAAATTAGATGTACATGGAGAATTACAACTTCAATGAAGCCACTGGGAAAAACATTGAGGAGCATTTACAGGCCCAGCCCAGCTAAACTGTCCTCCAGCTCCTCGGTCAGACCCCTCCAACAGGAAATCTCTTAAAGCAATGTTTTAGCTCTACCACTGACATCTTGCTATAAACTAATGTGATGTTTGGCACCGAAGGCTGTTTATTTAGGTGCGTGGAGTTCTGGCTGTTGGCTTGGAGAGAAAAGTTATTTCTCTAACTCCCTTCAGAGACCATCCAAGTACTTGAACACCCATTACACACAAAAGAGGGGCAGGGCCAGACTTTTGTAGAATTAAGTAGGTGAATTGTTTTCTGACACTTCCCTCCCACCCCTTTTGGCTGTAAGCCCCATCCCCTACCCTCAGCTGCCTTCTTGCAAAATACAGGTATCTAGCCTGGCTTCTTCTTGCCAAGATTTTTCTGACATCTAATTATCAGCTGACACCCTTTCTCTTTTTCTCCCACCCTTTCAAGCAACTTCAAGCTGATAAGTATTCCCAGGAACATTCAAATTTTAACTGATGCTTAATTAAGAATGTTGAAAGGTCTTCATAACTGAAAGTAATAGAACCCAACTGATAGAATTTGAGGTTCTGTGATGGGTCTGAAGGAGATGTTTGTAGACTTATACAAGTTAATCCCATAAAAATGACGATCTACTACCCCTGCAGTCAAGGCTGACCTCAAAAGGGGATGATCATTTCCCTAAAGGTACCTAGGAGAAGAAAGGTATATAACATATATAATCTATCTAACTATACTATATGTAGTCTATAGGATAGATAGATGATAGAGTGTGTGCATGTGTGTTTGTAAGTTTCATGCACACTCAAGCCCTATAAGTTGTCTTAAAATATTCAGAGGATTTATTTTGAAGTTACACCACCTTTGCAAATGTTTCCATAATCATATCTTGGCTGGCAGAAGAGTCAATTCTGCATTGTTAATTAAGGCTGTTTTCTGTACTAACGGCTCATTTCTAACAAGATTCTTCCAGGCTAGTGTAGTTAGACAGCCAGGTGACCTCCAGAGATCAGGTTCTTAAATCACAATGAATCCAGTTCACACAGATGAGTTTCCAGAAACAGGAAGTCACTACCACTATGCTGACCACCCTTTTCTTTACCCTGAAAAGTGTAGGTAGGATACCCTATAAGTCACAGACACAGGCAAAATACCCCAACGATAATTTCAACATCGACTATAAGTTCAAATCTTTTAAGTCCAGGAAAGTAGACACTTTGGTGTAAAAAGACAGTAAGGATGATATGGAGAATCGGGAGGAATGAAAGCAAAGACAAAATATGAAAAGTATAACAGGCACTTAGATAAAGAGAAAAAAGAAAAGAAAGATGGAATTCGAATTCTTCATCTGTAACTATCAGAAGAAGGTGGCAGCTGGTATTTTTTTTTAAAGCCTTAAAGTAGAGGCTCTCGGGCCAGAACAGCTGTGGAATTGGAAAAAAGGCCAATAATTCAGAGTCTTACGATTGCCAACATCCCCACTCCGCTCCCTTCCCTCCTTTCTCAGAACCAACAATGAGCAAAACATTAAAAAGGTGTTTAGACTGTCAGGAAATATGATTTTTTTTTTTTTTACTCGGCTGTAAAAGCCTGCTACGCGCTGGAACGCTGGCAAATGCTTCCCTGACAACCAGGTCTGGGAGGAACCTTTGCATGAGTTTAACACCCATCAAGGGATCGCCTTGTCTCTCCATGGAGACAGGGAAAGCAAGCTATGTCTGCAGAAAAGTTTTTGGCTTTTCTATGTCCCCCTCTCTCTCCAGACCCATTGGAATCTCACTTAAGACTAGAAATATCTCACAATGGATAATTAATACAAATAAACTGTCCCATTTATAGGACCAAAATGGGATGAAGAAACACAAAAGCCTGGAGGTAAATACACAGCCATGATGTTGTATACCTCAAATACACACAGCGTTTTGTATTCCAATCATTCATCAATAAAGTGGTTTCATAAAAAAAGAAAGAAACATGAAAGCCTAGGTTTTCTAAGAACTGAGCTTTGAGGGATGAAGCAAAGCTGGAGGTTATCAGTTCAGAATAAATGGGGCTACATTTAGTGCTCTGGTTTTCCATCCATCAAACTGGCTGAGTCAAACAGTCATAGGGATAGAAATGATCATTCATTAATGAACTAAGAAAAGAAAGGCAGGGCTTGGGGCCACATGCTAGAATTGAGGATCAGGTGTCTTTAATTTAGTGTGGATTGCAGATGGCAAAGTGATTCTTATTAAGTAGTTATATAATCGTTTCCTCAAGGGGAAAGGTCACACCACAGTTTATAACTTTACCAGGAACAGAACTGCCAGAAACACTATTTTTCTTATGAAGAACTAAAGGGCCAGATGTAAGTAAGTATAAATAGTTGTATAATGTAAATTCTGAATTGAGATTTGCTATTATACAGCTCTATATTGCTTAGATCCTCCAAATCCATCAAATAACTAATGGTTTTTAAAGGACTTAAATTCAATATAAATGGATCAGTAATTAAATCTAGGCAATAATACCCAAGAGCTTTTGCAAACATTAAAGTTCGTATTTCCAGTTCATATAGTACAGATTGTACTTAATTCAGTGATAATTTTTTTTTACTTTTTTTTTTTTTTTTTTTTTGAGTCCCTGTTAGGTCAAATTGCATGGGATAAAAAGTGAGGGCGGCTTGTATTGATTTTGCTATAATTTCGTTTATAACTTTACTCTCGGAATGGAAATTGTATATAGGAGGCTCTTACCTGAAGGTTGAGTGGGGCAGGCAAAATTTATGGAAGTGTTACCTTTGTAGTGACTGCTCTGTGACTTTTGAGACTGAGAAACATCTGGAAGAAATGTGAGTTCTGGAGGGGAAAATGCTCGACAGAGAAGTGTGCCCGATGATCTGAGTGATTATTAGGCTTTTAGGTTTATTTCCAAAACGTAATGGCTGGAATTTGTTCTATCAGAGCCTACTATTGCTCTTCTATATTGCCTATTACATGGATGGCACTGGATCAAGACTCCTGCTACCTCAGCTTCTTTTGTAGGAAGAAAAAAAGAAAATTTTTAACCAATAGGACTGAAGTAGTTTAATAATCGAAAGAAAAAAAAGTAACCAAACAATCAAGAAAAAAGTGTGTTTGTTCTATGTATTCTCTGGCCAATAAGAGGGAGATATTTTATTATCTCTATGGGCAAAAAAGAGAGAAACCAAAACTATTACTGCTCATATTCTGGGGATAATAAACAGCTTTTTAATTCTAACCAGCAATATAATATTATGTTCCCCATATAGAAGTCACTAAGACAGGAAAAAAATTAAATTTTCTCCAACAAACCCAAGCCACAGTGACCTCTCTTTCTTCTTCACATCTGTAATATCTACCATACCATTTTAAAATAGTCACTTAGCATATATACAGGATACCATCTCTCTCCCACTCACCTGTAAAAAGATACCACAAGACACCTATGAGAGACTACCACTTTCAAAGTTTCCAAAAGGGAAGATATAGCACAAATCTCCCCTACTCTGGGACTCCTGAAAACCTCAAGGGAAATTTTCTTGTGTCTTCTGCCCAGCCCCAGCCCCTCTGGGATGCTAAAAGCCAAGCACAGGGTTATGTCTGATTATACTCTTCTTTAAATGTTCCTTCTCTTTACCAAGTCAAAGGGTCTTCTACATACTCTGGAAATGGCCTAAGAAACCCGTTCAGTCTGCTGGCTTTCCCTTCTCAAATCATCTCTAATCTTACACCCCCAGTCTTTTTGAAGCTAGAAGCTACATATTTGGCATGTGCTGTTGGTAATGCAAAAGCAATATGTATCCAAGGAGTAACTGCCAAATGAGCAGTGAACTCATTTAGGTTACTAAACTGGAAGGATAAAACAAGCCCATTAATTAACCTTCACATTGCATCACACCACAGATATTTGCATATTCACCATCAACTGCATGGCCCTGAACACAGTAAATGCCCAAGAAAGGTCTGTGGTTCATGATCATAAAAGTATTTTAAACATATTTTATATTGAAGTTGATACTCAAGAGCCATGATTATCAATCTTTCCCACCAAAATACCGCTACCAGAGGAGATACATGAATGGTTCCCACTGCAAGGGAAACAGTCCTTTAAAGCCTTGTGTCTTATTTTAAAAACACCCAGTTTGACCACTGTGATAACCAAAAATATCAATGGCCCAAAGTAGCCATTCTATACAGTATTCTTGCAGAGATTTGACTATGTTGTATTTTCAAAATGAATCTCTAGGTATCCATCTCCACGTGCAATAACCACCAGGCCTCCTAAGATCTGAAAGGGAATTCTCTATCAGTACCAAATCCAGACAAGAAATCTCTTGGTATCTTTGGTATACCACTTTCCAACGTTCTAACCCTTCATTCCTATCCTCCAGAGTCTAGCAGAGACACTGAACTACATACTTAATCTTTGACCTTCATACAGGCAGAAAAAAATTCACCAGCCCACAAAAGATACAAACAATATCTTGTCCTTCACATATATAAAAATGATGAACCAGGTGCGGTGGCTCACCTGTAATTCTAGCACTCTTGAAGGCTAAAGTGGGGGGATCATTTGAGCCCAGGAGTTCAAGACCAGCCTGAGCAAGAGTGAGACTTTGCCTCTACTAAAAATAGAAAAATTAGCCAGGTGTGATGACATGCACCTGTAGTCCCCGCTACTTGGGAGGCTGAGGCAGGAGGATCGCTTGAGCCTAGGCGTTTGAGGTTGCTGTGAGCTAGGATGACACCACAGCACTCTACTCAGGGCGACAGAGTAAGACTTTGTCTCAAAAAAAAAAAAAAAGAAAAGAAAAAGAAAAAAGAATGAAAACATCAGCACTTTTATATTTAGCTAAAAAATAAAACTATCAAAGATCATTCTATTTCATTCAGGTTTCAGTAGAACTTGGGGCAATGTTCTGAATCTAAGTGCAACTCACAATATAAAAATTCCTTTCTGCATCTGTAGAAATAGATATTCATTACTCATCGAAGGCCAATAGATAACATGTGGCAAATGGATGAGAAAAACCACTAATTTCTTGCCAACCACATGGTAGACACTCAAAAAAATACTTTTCTTTTTTTGTTAATGGATTGTTCTATTCTGAGGTAATCCTCCATGGAGCAACATATACTACAGAGGGCAATTATTTGATATTTTTCCCCTTTCAAATTAAAGAAGAATCATGAATCAGGAAATTTTGGAACTCCATATAAAGTGTCTCTGTACAGAAGTTTGCATAGAGAACATTTTTTGAGAGTACAGCCCTTTGCTGTTATTTACAAACATTATCAGATTTAATCATAGGCAGCATGGTTTGCGGCTCAGAACATCGTATAAAGAGTCCAAATTTCTTGTGCTTCATCGTCTTTGTGATTGCTGTGTTCTAGCAGGACCCTTCGTGTGGGCTACAGACCTGTACAGTGAACAAAATTAAATGTGTGCCAGTCTTTGTCATTTTTAATTTTAATTAACTCCAAAAATATGCACAATGAATTGAGGAATTTTATGGGTAAAATGCCACCAATTTTCTCCCTAAATGACTCAGAACAATAAATAGGACACATACGGTACTTTCATTTTCTAGATGAAAAATTGTCCTTATATATATGCATTACTACTTCTCAGATGTATGAAAATGCTATTGTGTTTAATAAAATACATTTTCACTATGAAGCTTTACTACCTTCATGATA